TTTGTGCCCAAACTTTAAACATACATGGTATAATCACAAAATACAGTGAGTGTTTAAATTTTAAAAATGTAGCCAGGCGTGGTGGCACATGCCTGTAATCCCAGCACTCGGGAGGCTGAGGCAGGAGGATCGCTGTGAGTTTGAGACCAGCCTGGGCTACATAGTGAGCTCCAGGTCAGCCTCAACTACATAGCCAGGACCCTGTCTCAAAAAAACAAAACAAAACAAAACAAGTAATTGCAGTAAAAGATGCACTGCCACTAATCCTTTCACAAAATCACCCCTTTGCTTTGAACACATTTGTCCCGTCTTTCTTGCCACTTTCTGGAGCAGGTCTTAAAGTGCTTTCTTGAGTTTCTTTGGTTGTGCTGTCCTGGCTGCCTCCATAATAAATACTTCTTGTCTGCTGGACTCTTTAGGGTGGGTTTGGAAACAAGAAGATTGTGAATAGCAGTGCGACGTGTTAGCTTCCAGGTGTTCCGTATCTCACATCCTTCCCAACACGAGGCGCTGATGACCCGCTTAACTTCATCCGCACTGGTGGTGCGGAGGAGGATTTTCTCTGTGCTTTCAGTCTGCATTTCCCACACGAATAAAGATGTGCAGCACCTTTCCATATGCTCGCTGATCATTTCACTATGCCCTTTTGTGAAACACCTGTTTCTAATAAAATTTAAAATGCACATATACCTTAACTCAGTATTTACACTTCTAGGAATCTATAAAATATTCACATTTCTGCAAGAAGTCTGTATATTAGGGAATTGCTTGTAATACCGAAACAGTGGGAAAAATTCATATGTTTAGGGGGGAAATGTGACAAGGTAATTATCTGTATAATGATGCAAATGCATTAAACAGAGTTTGAACAGATGTCTTGCCCTCAGAGTATATTCAGAGGAAATCCGGAAGGGACAGTTCATCTAGATTAATTTTCCATACATTTAAAAAATCTTTTATTTTCTGTACATAGGAAACTCTCCACAATAGGCAGTATCTTTCCTATTAATATCACTGATATTTAAACAGGATAAAGTGAGATTACTATGTAAATGTATTTTGGGATGACGTAAATGATATATTTCATAAATGTTTTGCACAGTTTTTTTACAGCCTAACATAGCCTATCCTGGAGAATATGCCCGGTGTCCAGAAGACCGTGTATTCTACTGTTTTTGGTAGAGTCACAGAATCTGTTCTGTCTGGCTCATGGTGTTTCTGAAGTTTCTATGTCCTTATTTCCTTTTCTCAGTTTTCTTAGTCACACTGAAAGTCAGGTATTGAGTTATTTGCAGTTGTTGTTGAAGTGTCTATTTCTCTCTTCAGTTCCTTTAGTGTTTATTTTCATTTACTTTTGAGATTTGTTAACAGGTGCATATATGTTAATAATTACTAAGTGCTCCTGATGGACCCCTTCACTGTTGCAATATATCCTTCTTTGTCTCTGATAACATTTTTTCTTCAAACTTGTTATGGTTTAAATACGCAGTGCTCCCCAGAAGTCTCAGGTGTTCAGTGGGGCCTTTCGGAAGGTGACTGGATCATGGGTGCTCCACTCCAGCGCAGTCACCCTTTGATGAGTTCACAGCTAAGTGTGCTGTCAGGAGCTGGTCACAGGTGGCAGTCACTGGGTCATACTTCTGGAGGGCACAGCTCCCTCCATGGTGAACTCCTTCTCTCCGCTTCCTGTCTGCCATGTCCTTCCCACGTGATCCTTCTGCCTTGGAGCAAGCACCCAACCCTAGACTGAACCCTCCAAAAACTGAGCCAGATTAAACCTCTTCTCTTTCAAACTGTGGGTATTGGGTGTTGTGTTCCAGCAATGGGAAAGATGACTAATATATGCTTATTTTGCCTGACTTTAGGGTGACCATTCCAATTCTTTTTTGGTTACTTTTTCCATGGTTTATCTTTTTTCCAACTTTTTACTTTGAATTTAAAATGTATTACTTGTAGACAGACTATGGTTATATCATTTCAAAGCACATAGTCTGCCAATCTACCTTATGATTGGAGCATTTATTTTTATTTGATGTCATTACTAGCATGGTATGATGTGTCTGCCATTTTGCTATTTGTATTGTTAACATATGTTTTGTCTTTTCCATTCCTTTCTTTCTGTCCCATTATCTAGAGCCATTCAAAGAATGGTAGTGATCTAAAAACTATCTTAGTGAGTAGTTCTGGGGACCTCACAGACTCACTCAGATGGCATTGGAGTCAGATCTGAGTTTTGTGTGAAGACTCGGCCAAAGTATTTCATTGTGTTGAACATCACAGTACCTCTTATTCAAGGTGCACACTGACCCACTACCGAGTAGCCAAACGCCTAGACTTGGCTGCTAAGTAGAATGATAGCAGTATCATTTGAAGTGAAAATTTAAACTAGGAACATTTCAGAAACTATGTTTTCAGGGAAAAATGTTTCATACCAATGTATGTAAAGTAACTTGGCATTCTTCTCTTATTTTTAATATGGTAAAGATAGTACCACAATGGGTACAGTGTTAGGAGTGAAAGAGTATATGGTACATAGAAGCTACTGAATACATGTGAATTTCTTTTCTCCTGCCTCTCAGATTTGATTTTTCCGTCAAGACTGAATTTTAACCAAGTTGCTGTACTTAGGGGATGTGTCTACATTCTGCTATCAGGTGGACAGAGGAAATCAAGGGATTTTATTTCTCGGCTAGTGTGGAAGGATGGAGTAATTCTGCCATAGAATGTTTGTGGAAAAGAGATTCTGGTTATAGTCTGTTTGTACAGACTTAATAGGCAGGTAGTACAAAGACTACCTACATGGTCTTCAGCGAAGCAGTTATCCCTTACTAGTTACTTCTGGATGAATTATGTCAAAACCTTAATTCTCGTTTCCCCTTGGCTATGGTAAATATAAGATATTTAAAATGGAAAAATATTCTAAATAGCTCGTTATTTAAAAAACTACATATTAGCAGGTTAACTTCTATCCATTCAATCAGTTATTATTATTCCTTCAAGCATATTTATTTGCTTTCAGATGGATTATGTTTCACTCAGTCTCCCAGATGGGTAGCATTTTCTTAGAAAACAGGTTCCTTAATTTATCCAGTCTGAATTCATAAGTTCGTCTCTCTGGATCCAAGTGAAGGTTTTAAAGCTCATGTTCTAGCTTTGGTCTTGAAAAGTCGCTCCTAAGCCTTCTTGCTATAATATTAGCAGTGACTGTAATAGACAGTTCCAGTTTTGGTGAAGAGCTGTTAGTGTGAGATTCCTTTTCTGTCTCCTCCCCTTGGCACACTGTGGTGATCTCAGAGGGAATCCTGTGAGGGAGAGACATGGACACCCCGAGCTGCAGGCTGGATCACGGACACAGAGTAGGAAGAAGTCAAGGAATGGTCCATCGGCAAGTGTAGGATGCTGCAGATGTAGGAATTCTCTGAGATTCAGTGCTTTAAACTGAAAACTTAGCTGTTTTCAGTACTTATTTTTGCATTTTAAAAGGAATGGATAAATAGCTTTCTTTGTGGAATTCTGTGCACATACCGTTTATGGACACTGAAAGCAATAGTTACGGCTTACTACAGAGCCATATTCCACAAAATTTTCTGGATTTTCCCTTTTTCTCTTTTGAGACTTTTATTTCTATCTAGGACTGATCCATGGATAAACATTGATTCCATTAGAAATGACAGATAAAAAGATAAAAAGACCAATGCTGAAATCTGAAGGGTAATTTAGATGAGTGCTATATGAATATGAAAAGTAGAACTTACAAATTCTACTTTGTATTAGATTTGCTTTGAAAAGTATCCTTAGTGGGCATTTATAACTTAAAATAAGTATTTACCTTATCTAAAGAAATCAAATAGATTCATCAAGTTCTCTGGCCAGTCTGTTCCATAAAAGCTATTTTTACTTAGTTAAACACGATGCTGATCATCTTAAATATGATGACATGCAATGATTTTAAACATAAAATGGACACTAGGATTAAGGGTTAGAATACAATTTTTGTCAGTATTCACTCTTTTTGTAATCTGTAGCTCAGAAAAGAGTAATTTAGAAATAGAAGTTCTTAAAATGTATTAATTCAAGTGACTACACAGTGGTTGAACAAAATTAAACAGAAGGGGCAACAAAGCATAACTCCAACATTATCCCATAACCCAATTTTAGGGCTGGGGATTTATCTCAGTGGCACTGCACCTGCTTGGCAAGTGCAAGGTCCCGAGTTTGATTCCCGGTACTGGATATATATTTTGTATAGCTATAACCCAATTTTAATTTGACATTATATTTGCAAGTATTTTATGCTCTGTTTTTCAAAATATTAATCACTACTATAGGAACATGAGTTGATGGTATAAACTTTTTCTTCTCATTGAGTTTATTGGTAGTTCATAAACTTTTAATGTGCAACTTATCTCTGAGCTGTTGGGAAACTTCAGTTGATTAGGTTTTCTCATTGCAAAATTAGAAATAGCACCATTTGCCCATATTAATTGGAATAAAGCATAGACTTGAAGACATTGGAATGAGTTAGTTAAAGTTCATGAGCTTGAGAATCTTCAAGCAGTTACATAAATGCAAAAGCTATTACTGTGCACTTGTAGAGGGTAATTCCTGGTTTGACATTTAGTAACTGAGCATTTTTGCCTTGACTCACCAAAGCTAGCTACAAATCAGACATGGAAGGCTTTGGTATTTCAATGTTAAAAAAATTATAGCAGACAGTTTTATACCAGGAATAAAAAGCAGTTTAATAAGTCCACATTCATTTCTTATTTGATTGCTACACATTTAAAAGAAGTTTTCAGTGCTGGGCTATGCCACAGAGAAAGCACAATTATCTAAATATATACTTTAAAAAAAAGGAATTGCTTGTTTAACTCAGCCACTGCTTTCTGTAAAACACTGTAAAGTTTGTGTAAGTTAAAACTGAGCAGGCTTAGGCTGCAGGCTCGAAGCTGGTTTTCAGGTTTTCTTTCTCATCAGAAGTACATCTTGCTTGAATTCTCTCAGGCCGTTTTGAACAGTCCATGGAAGGTGACAGGGATATTAACCTCCACTTCAGCTCTGGCCACTTCGCTCAGGTCCTTGGCATTCAGAATCAGGAGATAGGCGGGTTTCTGTCCTGTCCCAGGGTTCACCACCACACTCAGAACCACCCCTGTTTGTCACAAGGAAACAAGCAGATCAAAATTTAAATGAGCTCAGACCTGTGGATTAAGTGAATGACACTGGCAAATAAAACTGTGATTTGGCTTCCGTTCTGACTCTGCTACCCCTGGCTGCGTGACCCCCTGCAAGGTCTTTTGGAGTCTTTCCCTCTGGGCTCCAGGCTTCAGGGAGGTAAGGACCCTCTCTGCCTTTCTCAAGCCTGCCTGGAGAATTCCGGTCTCCGGGGTTAGAGCACAGCAGGTGCTCATTAAATACTTATCGAATGCACCGATCTGTGTCATTGTCATTCTTCCTACTGCACAAACAAAAGTGTGATGATCAAGTGAAGTTGTGTATTAAAAGACTTTGGCAGCACCAACGCCTATCATATTACAGTTTCCAAGATCTATCGGGAAACTTCTTCCCCCCCACAAAAAAAGAAATGAGAACAAACCTTTTGCACTTTTTCTGAATACTTGCATGCACGAAATGGCTCCACAGTTATTTATATCTCTTCTCTGTGGCTGCCCATCTTGTATTCCAGAGAGTGTGTGATCTATCGCCCTGTCTTAGCCAGGTAAGGATTAGCTAGGATGCTTGGCCATTGAGTGGCTGTGTTACAGACGATGGCCCTGGATCTCTTTCTAGCTCCAGCCTGCTAAAAGCACAAACCCAAACTAGAGCCCCAGAGCTGCCCTCTCATTGTCTTGATCTTCTGGAACCCCTTGTTTCCCTTCTTAGAACTCGATCCTTTTTCAGAAATATATCTTGATGAGGAAGGGCCAACACCTAGGTGCTGCCATCTTTCTTTGTCCTTCCCCTCATCCAGAGAAGACTCTGACGCTGGCTCATGACATCACATGGTGCTGTAATATTTTTTTCCCACTGGAAAGTAACAGGACCTCATCACAAGAGGAAACATTTCCAAATAAGCTTAACTTCTTCAGTGCCATCCACTTAGAGGAGTGTTTTTTTAAACACTGGGGAATAATCAACCTAACTCCCACTTCTTGGACACACAGAATTCCAGCCGGAAGAGTGTGCAGCCATGGTCATTATGATCATTACCATCATCTTCTTCTAAGGCATCTGGGTGGGAGATGAAGATGGGCTCTGATGGGTAGGAATCCGGCTCCTGCCACACCCAGGTTTCTTTAGTTTTGACATTCAGCTTACAGAGCTGCTCGAAAGAAGGCAAAAGCAAGGGATCCACCAGTCAGTATCCCCCTCACTTGACTCACCTGTGAGCCAAAGCACTCTCCCAGTGTCAATGAGTAGACTGATTACCTTGTCTGGAAGGAAGTGATTCAAGCCAAGTCCGTATGCGAACGTATAAAGTTTCCCGCTGTACTTCCCATAATTGATTTGAGGAAACTCAAATGCTGCAAAGTAGAGGACAGGGCTAGGCAAACTCAGCCAGTCTCTGGGAGTAGAACGCATGTTCCTTCCGTGGGGTTTGCTCTGGCTCGTCTTACCTTGGCGAGGCCCTGAGAAGAGGACCTCAGGTTCTAGCCAGATCGTCTCATCACTGTGCAGGGTGGCAGTGGCAGTTGTGTTGGGCAGCGTGACTAAGTTCCTGCCTGTGTCAGCCTGAGGGTGAGGGTAATAGAGACCCCAGTGGGCAACTGGAAGTGCAGACCCCAGGTTAGCTCCCCTAGGTTTCTTCCTTTGGTCACCATGCAGGAGGAGGAGTCCGGGAGAGTGTAGGCCAGGGAGCCCGGGGTGCATGGCACGTGCCAGTCACAACTCATGGGATGTCACCCGGGCCCTCACTGTGCTCACCTGCAAGGTGAGACTATCCTCAAAGGGAAGTTAGGGCTCTGAGGCAGGACCTTTGCAGAAGACAGGTAATTAACAGTTGAGGCTATAGATAAAGATTTTCTGCGGAACAAAAAAGGCTTCAACTGCCTAATGGATAAAAGAGTGTCTGTTGCTTTTATGGTTAGGAAATATTCTGGTTTTGTTGGAAAAAGCTGATGAAATTATGTTGTCAATAAATTATATAGAAAAACCACTGGATGAGATGTTTTTAAAGACCTTTTCTCACACATGCGTGGGTGTGCCTACACAGACTTTTCAGACTATTCTATGAAGACAGTGGGTGCTATGAGTTTTTCCTAAGAATATATAGTATCGATTTATTAATATTTTTATCAAATAGTTAATTATAATGTTTTTATTCTGGACTCTATTTTAGGCATTTGGAATATTTCAGAGGATAAAGTCCCTGTCCTTGTGATGCTTGCATTCCACTTAGAGAAGTTTAATAATAAACATACCAAGTAGGGCATAGTGACATACCCAAAATCCCAGCACTCTGGGAAGCTAAGGAGGAAGGACTGTAAATTCAATCCCAGACTGGGAAATTTAGAGACTTAGTGTGCCTCTTTCTCTAAATAAAAATTAAAAGGGCCTGGGGATGTAGCTTAGTGAGAAAGCCTTGGATTCAACGTCTGGTAGCCCCCACACGCAGGCAGACACACACACACACACACACACACACACACACACACACACACACACACACACACACACACACACACAC